TCCGTCTCGTGAGTTACTAGCCAAAGATGGTCACAGCAGGCACTCGTACAAGAATTGAGTTCAGCTTACTAGACAAAGCTTCATGAACTCGTACAAGATTGAGTAAGTAACTAGCCATTCACGCTCTCGTGCAAGATTGAGTTTAGTAACTAGCCAAAACTTCACGCACTCGTTCAAGATTGAGTTCAGTTACTAGCCAAAGATTCAAGCACTCGTTCAAGATTGAGTTCAGCTACTAGACAAAGCTTCACGCACTCGTGCAAGATTGAGTTCAGTTACTAGCCAAAGCTTCACGCACTCGTGCAAGATTGAGTTCATTAACTAGCCAACGCTTCAAGTTACTAGCCAAAGCTTCAAACATGCCAGACAGAGTTAAGAAATTGACCAAGCTCTAGATCAGTAGATCTAATTCAATAATTAGCCAATGTTTCAAGTATAGAAGACAATGTCAATGATTCATGCACTCGTGCACGATTGAGTTCAATGAAAAAGTTTCACATTTAGTTTCATGACTAATCAATATTTCAGGCACTCGTGCAAGATTAAGCTCAATGACCCGTCAAAGCTTCACACACTCGTGCAAGATTGGGTTCCATGAATAGTCATACCTTCAAGCATACTAGATAGAGTTCAATTACTCTTCAAAGCGTCACGCACGTGGGCAATATCGAGCTTTTACTTGTGAAGATAGAGTTCAGTGGAAAGTTAAAACTTCATACATGCAAACCCGATAAACCTTTAAGCGTACACAAGACCAGGTTCAATAAACACAGAAAGTACAAGTACATGTACTATCAATTTAATTAACATAACATAACATAATATTCATTCAGCATTAAATGTTACAACATTTATAGCCATTTCAATATATAATACAAGCATATAAGGGAAATATAATTGAAACAATTTTGAACAAACATGGGACTTTTTGTTCGGGTATTTTGTTTTCATACAGCTGTTCGAGCATTTATTTTCAACGCAGGAGAAAGTAAAATACAACACATCTTGTCAGGATTAACTTTTCTACTTAGCAGGAAAAATATACCACCAAAATACATGTAGCAACGAATCGAAACTTAACATAAGTGCGTGAATTGATGAATAACTTTTCAGAGAAATATAATTGTAAGTTATTCTAACTAGATCAGAATTGAAAAAAAGGTTTAAGTACTGTATTTCCCAGTACAATTTACTTTTATGCATATGAAAACAATGTATCTGAATGTAAATGTGTTTAAAAAAACCACAAAAAAAAAACAACAAACAAATATTATTGATGAAACAGTGTATCGACATATTTTGTTAAATAGTAAGGAAATGGGAGGTAATCCATACCGACTTAAAACCAACCATGGGAAATAATTACGCGTCATGTGACTCAAGTACAAAATACACACTCTGATCACGTGATTCCAGATTCACAAGCAGCTGTGAAACAGCTGATCGACTAATGGAAAGTTTCACTTAAATACTAACAAAAATTGTGTATTAAAAGTGATTTCATTGGAAAGGATGGTAACTATTTATATTCATATTATATTTCCTTGTTTAATATCCGCTTTTCATAGTTAGAAATGTTTAAGCTTGAACGATATATTCTTTGTTTACATTTTTTTAAACTCTACGCAGTAGGGATTTGTTTATATTTTTACGGCGTATTATGTCAGATATGTTTTCATTTCAGTTCAAGGTCTATTATAAATAACAATATCTTAAGGGTTTAATGCAATAAAGTTACGTTACAATAACACGATACGATTGCACATGTTTATATCTGAATGGATAACCGAATATTCTAGAATATTATAGTATCACGACTTTTAATTAAAGCTATGTACAACGCTATATAGTAAATGCGGCCTTAAGTTTAAAATAGGGAAACTATTAATTGGTAGTATGTTTGTTCTTGTTGAACTAATTGTACTGTGAGTTAAGATATTGACATTATTGTGATATTTTATGTAAGTTAATATCCCCCAATCTACGTATAAAGCAGGTCCCTCTTTATGAAAATCCCTGGTAGAGGCCAGGTTTAGATCTTGAATAATAATAATAATAATAATAATAATAATAATAATAATAATAATCCACTAAAAACCATCTCTGGCTTTGAGAGTTACATATATTATGACTTTTCATTGATGGTTTATTTTCATTTTAAAGTGTTCTCAAAGTGTTCATTTCCTCATTTCCCTGATCAGACCTATGTATACCAATATTCACAGTCATACTTTTTGGCATACTGTATGCTGTGTATTTATTGTAAATATCTATTTCCATGTTAACAACACCTTTGGGATTCTGCTGTCAGTTATTTTTTCGCACCCTGTGAACTAGCCATAGGCGGAGGTTAAATGTCAGAAAGCAAACGTAAAAAGAAAACACATTTTACAATAATCAATAGTATACTCCATCTAATTTAATATCAACAACAAAGGGAATATATATTGACATATTGGAATTTTCTCTGTGTTCAAATAATACAGTACACGACATGCTTCATTGACAAGCAGCTGCAGACGATAAAATTATTACCGTGATTATGGATATTTAAATTGTGAGAAGCAGGCGTCAATGTTACGCACATTTCTTCACAATTCCTAAATTTACCCAATCACAAAAATGTTTATATTGCCTTGCCTTCTGGTTAATTGTAAGTGCCAGTTAGTAATCCAAACAGCGTTCTTTTTATCGATATCATGGTAATAATTAAAACACGAATGCTAACAGAAAGAAAGAAATCGTCCGGACATTTCATAAAATCGATATCATTCTCATGTAATTCCTAGGCATTTTAACAAAACACAATACATGTATATGTTCTGTGACAACTGAATTATTAAATGACTGAAATTGTATGTTTTGAATAATTAGATAGTTCAAATTATCAAATTATTTGGTACATTTCATTTACTTCTGCTCTAAACGTTTAATGATAGCTAAAACCGCTCACACATTGTCAAAATATAGATTTAAAATGTTAATTACGTATACTGTACATGTAAATTGTTAATCACAGTGTTGGTATATTGTTTAAAACTTACATGTACATGCTTGTTGCTTTTAATGTTCATGTATATTTGTTAATAATGTACATGTATATTGTTTATTGTGTACACGTATATTGTTAATAATATACATGTATATTGTTAATAATGTACATGTTTGTTGTTTATAATGTTCATGTATAATGTTTATAACTTACATGTACATGTATATTTGTTATAATAATGTACATTTATATTGTTTATAATGTACATGTGTTTATACTGTACATTTATATTGTTTTCAATGTACATACCTACCTACCTATCCTCTTCATGCAAGGTGGCACATAAGACTGACACAAGTCTCCTCCATTTTGGTCTATCCTTTGCAACCTTCTCTACAGTAAAGTTCTTTCCAGGTTTTTCCCATCTTTTTTATTTCAGTGTCTTTGTTTCTCCTCCATGTTTCTCTGGGTCCTCTATACTTCTTTTTCCTTCTGCTTGTGTCCATTTGATGGCACTCTTGCATTTGACCCTGAAGTCGGTATATTTCGTAAATGTTACGATCTACTTGTAAATAGATATGAATGTTAATATCCAATAGTTAAAATGGTGTAAATTAAAAAAAAACCCTCTCAGAGCAATTGGTAAAGGGGTTTGACTTGAAGAATTGTAGAAGTTTTTATTGGTTGGTTCGAATCCTATTTCATCGATTTATTTTTAATTTTAATTTCAAACAATGCCATTCTCTTAAAACTATTGCAAACCTTTTTTGTTGTGTATACTATCTGTGTAGCATATTTAATAATAAAGCGTGTGTACGCTAAAGCCTAGATGGCATAATGTCACATAAAGAGCCGTAATATACTGTAATGAAATAAAAAAAACTATATAATTGTGTATAAAAATACCACTTAAAAGGGTATTCTAAAACCAGGTGTAGTAAAACGATTTCAAATTAATTTTTGCAAGTAAATTTAAAAAAAAATCATAACGGGTAAGGGAATTGGTAAGGAATCGAACCAGAGACCTTCATATCGGTCATACACCACACATCAGTGACAAGTGCAGTTAGTAAATATATCGATATATTCAACATGTACTACATGGTCAGTGTTTATTCAAATGACCTTTACGAAAGTTAATGAAGTGCCAGGTCAATATTGTTGGACAATACATGTATATTTGTTAATAATGTACACGTGTACAGTATTGTTTATAGTGTACATGTATAATTGTATTGGTTAATAATGAACATATACATTATATTATATATATTATTAATGAATATATATTATTTAATAATGAACATGTATATATAATCAATATGAAGGAGGAAGAAAAATATTAATAAAGATGTCAGATCATGAAACATAATAATGATAGTGAGGAAGTCAATTAAATTTCAATGGATACATAAATTATATAAATGCGCCTTCACGAATAAATAATTCTTCATTAAATCATAATATTGACTATAACAATATACAGTAGGCCTCGTGTGAACGAACGTGTGTTTACAAATTACAAGAATGTATTGCATCATTTGTTTTTATCAGTCAGCTGATATGTTTGCCAAAAACAACATAAGGAACAACAAAAACATCATGAAAAATACCAACGAAACCATGAAAAGGAAAAAAAAATCATCAACAAACAAACATAATAGAAGGCACAGAAATATCCGTAGTGCACGTTATCGCAAGTTGTTTTTGATGCATTAATCTTCGACATTTCCTTCTGCCATACCTTTGTAATTGTCGGTGCATGATTTGCCAAATGTTGATTTACTATTTGACATTTAGCACTAACGTATCATTCCTGGCTTAGTCATTCACTTACTAACAATAAATAAGATTACAAACATTAATCTACTAGATATATTAATGTTTTCATGGTGTTACAAAATGTATTAGTAACATAATACAACAAATTTGTAATTTTAGAACCACTTTTAAAGTGAATATAGTGAAAAATCCAACAACAACACCCCACCCCCCCCCCCCACCCCACCAAAATTTTTTTTAAAAAATACATCTCCCCGGAAAAAAAAACAACAACGTTTTGTCAAAATATGAAAGAAAAAGATGAAAATAGAGTCTCTTTCGTGAAACTATAGCAAACTACACCAAGATGGTTCCATACAAACTATTCAATCTTTATAATAAAGGAACAGATGATTCAGATAATAGGACAACAATCAACGTCCTTGAAACTATATAAAGTACAGCAAAGTTACAAAGCTTTTTAGAAACATAATAAAACATTTCGAATTTTAATGTTGAATAATGAACTTAATAGTCCATTACCAAACTATTAATTCTATTACATGATCTACAGTAAGGTTACTGTGAAGCCTTGTGATCTGACATTTTGATACGTATCCTTTAGCATGCTAAACAGATAATACTGTATATTATATAGGATTTTTTTTGTTTGTTTATTTTACGCCTTTTCCCAACATTATTTCAGTCATATAGGCGGGTAGTTCTTGGAGAGTAACACCAGTACTAGACTACCTGCCTCCGCGCTAAACTACCAAAGCATGTCCCGGGGATCGAACCCACGCCAGAGAGGTAACTGGATTAGAAGTCACCGACTCTAACCCCTCGACCACGGAGCCGGTTCAATATTATATAGGAACAAACTATTTTTTTCAAATTGATTCTAACAAACAGTTCTAACTTGAACCACCTCAACAAAGTATTGCCTTTCTGTCATTGCTATAAACCTGCTTCATTCGTTTACTTATTGATTATTGATTTATTTTGATCTGGATTCTTATCGATCTGTCAATGCATTATTAACACGATTCGGTCCATATGGCATTACGGTTAATATTTATTATGATTCTTCACCCATCACGAGGTCGTGACAATTCGGAACATTCCGGTCGGTACTGTCGGTTTTCGTATCCAAGTAAGATGTTTAAACATGCGAAGTTATATATATGTATATGTATGTATTTTTAATGGTTAATATTTTATAAACATAGTTTTCAATCATGCTCTTTCTTGTGTATCATTTATGAACTATATTCATGTTTACAATCAGTATACCGTATCTAGAGAATATTGACATTTTCGTTCTGCTTATTTTCACATTTGTCATTTTTTATAACAAGATTATTGAAAAATACCTTAGGGAACCCGTTTCTAGTTGACTGATTACTGAAGCTAATTTTACGGTTTATAAATTTTATAAACAATATTGAGTACATACGAGCTTGAAAATTGAGTACTCGTATAGTTTTATTATATACCCTTTTAACTAAAAACTAACTATTCACAGTTACATTTCTAAAAAAGTTTAAATTCAGTTTGCCAAACGCAAAATCAAGAAAACCGAACATGTGCGGAATGACGCTGGTATTTTCACAAGTTTTAGGAAAAACAACATTTAAGTCCATTATCTTAATTGTGGTTGGTTAAAATTAGGCAAGTTTCTAGGAAAACGACTTATTACGCAGAAATAAAAGGAAATATTCGCGTACAAACAGTCCTTAAGTGATAAAATCAATTTACTAAT